GTCATTGAATATAGTTCAGAACTAAATTGAACATATACCAAAAGTCCAAAGACTACCTTAAATAATGTTAAAGTTCAAGGATAATATTACTTATTATGCTAAAATTCAGAGACCATGTTAATTAAATTAAACGTCCAGGACCATATTGCACGTTGGATAACGTTTGTGGATCATTTATGTTCTCACTTCTCACGCACGGCCATCTTCTTCTTAATTCTCCTTCAGTTCTTCGCCTCACCACTCTTTAGCCTCACTCTCCGTGACTCTCGCCACTTCCAGTCTCAAGACGCTCCATTCACGCCCCCACCGCATTCGCCGCTGCCATCTCCGGCGGTGAAGATCGTCGCCGATCAGTCGTCAAGTAAGGCTATGTTCGTCGTCTCTCTCTCTCTCTCTCTCTCTCTCTCTCTCTCTCAAGTACATTGTTCCCTATCAGTTGTCTCGCTGAATATGTGGTCTCTAGGGGCCTGAGATTGCATTGGGTCCTTCTCATTTTGGTCGAATTTTCAATGGTGTAGGCACTAGGCAGGTGATTGTTAGAGCTTAAAACTAAGCGGCTAATTTCGTACCTCGGTCTCTCTCTGTCTCTCTCTCTCTGTCTCTCTCTCTCTCCCTCCCTCAAACATCTCTCGCAACGGAGCATTCGCTTCTCTGGCTCCCTCTCTCTCTCGTTCTTGTGTCATCTCCCCACCCATATCTTCACGCCTTCTCATCACTTTCCATTCTCGCTCGCCAGAAGATGAACGTGCCCTGCCCTGCCCCAGAAATTTAGCTGATGTCGCCCATCGTAGTCATAAATTGTTAAGAGTTTCGCCTCCTCTTGCTTCTGGGTCTATCATCATGGCAACGAAAGTACGGAATTCTGGGTCGTCCTATTCCATTGTCTTGGTAATCATCCGGTAGTTTTCGTGTTGGATCGAGTCCCCCCGCCTGTGATTCTTGGCTCGATTCGCTTGGAGATGGAAATTTCATTGCTTTTGTGCTAAAGGGTACAGCGACCGCAAGCGATGGAACTGATTTTCAAACGAATCGGTCAAATTCGCAGTTCGAAAATCTTGGAATCGAAGCCCGGTTCCGCGCGCTTAGCAGGCTTGGTCGAGGTTCCAATTCGCTTACCGGCGTCGTGGGGGGGGGGGGGGGAACAAAGAGAAAGAAAACTGGAGCAAGCCCATTCGTACTTTTTCCTGGGCCAACCTCCGATTCGCTTCCAGGCGGCCCATGTTGGCGTTATCATCGTGTAATTAAGTGAACAAAAAAAAAAAGAGAATTTTAGCAAAAGAAATTGATTTTAATAAACAAGAAGTGCATAGGTTGCTTCCGTGGATCCTAAATCCGACAGCGTCGCTCGGAAAATGCTTTCGATGATGACGAGGTGAGATCGGCTCGCTACAATCCGTCATCTCACCCGGCATTCGCTCCCACGCTGTCTTCCCTCTTTGGCTTAGATTGTCAGGTCTGTCTTTCGTCTCTCTTCCCATCTCTCGTCTTTCCCTTTTTCCGCGCTTTACGGTGGGAGGAAATCCTGAGGAATTTCGTTTCTAACGTGCCCTGGAGATTTCGAGCAGTTTTAGTAAATCTGGCTCTTTGCTGTCGCTGATGCATTGTCTACTGAAGCTCGCCATGGGCGATCAGTTATAGACAAATGAAAGAGTTGCTCGGCGATCAAACAGGGCGTGAATTGTAGTATTGAGATTTGGTTGATGGGTCTTGATAGTTTGAGGAATTTATCGATGTTCATCGTCTGCGTCGTTCAGGTGCTTTGCTGTCGTTGGCGGATTCAATGGGGAATGCATCGTCCATGCTGACTCAGTATGATATTGAAGAAGTTCAAGACCACTGTAATAATCTTTGTGAGTTTCTGTTTCTATTATGGTTTTATCCGTCTTCAGTTGGTTCTTTTCTAATTAATCGGGATTCATCGACCGATGTTGTTTTTGGTGTTGGTTCAGTTTCCCAGCAAGAGATTGTGTCATTGTACGAGAGATTTTGCCAACTCGACCGGAATGCAAAAGGGTTTATCTCGGCCGATGAATTCTTATCGGTTCCGGAGTTTGCGATGAATCCACTTTCTCAGGTGGTGTCTATAATTGTTGCTATGAGGAGACGCGTTAGATTTCATTTCTGAGTGGGATGCTCATAATGCGTTCTTTTTTTATTGACACAGAGGCTGCTTAAGATGGTGGATGGCTTGAATTTTAAGGATTTTGTGGCATTCTTGTCCGCTTTTAGTGCCAAAGCTAGCAAACAGCAGAAGATTGAATGTGAGTTTACTCAGATTGTGACCCTGTGTGAAAGTTGTCATCTTTCGACACTTTGTTCTGGATGGAGCTTTGTCGGACCAGTTTAATTTGTGAAAAAACTTCCCCACTCTTTGAAAATCATAGAAGATGAGAAGCAAGGCGGTGTTGGTATCCATGTAAACGATATTGATTGGCTTATTTAAGCAGCTCTTAGCATTATATTCAGATTTGAGTAATCTAAAAGTTGGAAACCAGCAATGGTGTGCCTCGTAAGTTAGAGATACTGAATCATGGAAGTATAATAATTCTTTAGATGTGGGAATAATGAAACCAATTGGAGGCGAGACCAGTAAATGAGTTCAATTAGAATCGAACTGTTTTGAACCCGCATAAGGAAACGAATCAGGTGGTTGAGAGCATCTGTTTGCTCCGCATTGTCTGTGGTTGAAATTATATTATCAGTTCTAGTATTGTATTGTAAATCCGTAATCAGTTCTAGTATCGTATTGTAAATCCGTAATCAGTTCTAGTATCGTATTGTAAATCCGTAATCTCTCTCTCTCTCTCTCTCTCTCTCTCTCTCTCTCTCTCTCTCATGTTGTGAATTTTCCCTTCCTGCAGTGATTTTCAAGGTGTACGATTCAGACTGTAATGGAAAGGTGTCTTTCAATGACATTTTGGAAGTTTTGCGGGATTTATCGGGTCCATTTATGTCAGATGGACAAAGAGAGGTACTTACCAATGGACTGGAGGTTCTCACTTCAATATTGTCAGTCTGTCTATGACAAGATTTTGTATAGGACATTGTTAGCTTGTATTTAGGCATCCTCCAATATGGTATAGATGTGTTGGTCAAACCTCATACGTCCACTTCTCATTTGTGATTGTCCCTGTGGATTTGGATAGTGTCCAAAGCAACATTTTATAGTGCATCTTGCTTATTCTTTTGTAAGGTTGATGGCTTTATGGCTCTCATCTACTTGCTTGTGTACTTTTGAGCTAATTGGTGCCTTAAACATTTTCTATAGCAAGTCTTGGTTCAAGTGTTGAAGGAAGCTGGTTACACAAGGGAATCCTATTTATTGTTGGATGACTTCGTTAAGGTATGAGTCGCTCCTTTTATACTGATGGTGAAGGTTAATGCTAGAAACAACCAATTGATAGTGTGGCTTCGCATTGATCATTATAGTACTATGGACCAGTGATAAGTTTTGACCCCTTCCATTCTAAAGAAGATAAAATCATCATCGAAATGGATTGAGATACGGCTAAGTTGTTTCTACATGATAATTTAATGTCAAAATATTGTATGCATGATTTTTCTCAAAGCAAATAATTGAGTCTCGTCTGTCATCACTGGAGTTAACTAAAAGAACGGTGGAAGTTCTAGGATACTCTATTTTTCTCGAGAAAAGAGTATTTGTTGCATAGTTTCTCCCGTACCATCTTCATAGAAGTGATGCTTGCAATTTTGATGCAATCCTAATGAAATATCCTTAATTGTGTATTGAAAGTCTGTAAGAATGCATATCCAATTTCAAATTGATTGCATCGACTCATGGTTTTGTGCCTTCTAATGATCAAGATATAGTATTGGATATCGTGATGTACTTACCTGCCCCGTGATGGACAAACGAGCGGTCGAACATTATTGCCCAATTGCCCATCATACTGGGAATCCTTTTCTGTATCTTTATCTTCTTTATGATGGCTTAAGCATGGATATTCTTAGCACGTCAGCTGATCCATGCTTGACAAACTTTGAACTAAACTTTGATGCTCTTCTTTTTTTTCGTGTTGCATTTGATCTCTGTCATCACCAATATATCACTTCTCTTTGACATGATTCAGGTTTTTGGAAACTCCGAACTAAAAATGGAGGTCGAAGTACCAGTTGACTGAGGGGCGGTACATGTCATCCTGCTCTGGAAAATATGCTACACCAAAATGCCACCCGTCGAGGTTCCCATGGGAATAGCAAACATGAACCAGGAAGAGATGGCGCTTCATTTCTCTCTCTGCTTGTGCCCAGAGTGGGGAATAAGCAAATAGGAAAGATGTATATTGAAATAAAATCTGCTCCCTTAGAATGTAATATTGGACAAAACAACAAATATTTTGTCTCTAGATTTTGCTCCTCTCTCATGTATGGACATGGGTTGATCCAATCCAGAAACAGATTCGGATAGCTACAAGTTAATGCTGCAATTTTTGTTTGTTTATTGGGTTGGCACCTTCTTACTACTCTTGGTGGCATTCTCATTTCTGCATTGTTTGAGCGTGTACTGTTCTTGATGTCATTTTCGTTCTTTCCTTATCCATGATGGTCTTTTGGGCATGAGAGGTCGACGGAAGCAATTCGAATTTGTCAGAAACCCTTCTAGTTAAACATAAGAATGAGCATCATCAAGAGTATGAATGCTAGGGCCCATCTGTGGTCTTCATTTCTTGCCACCACCGCGCATCACCCAACTTCTTTAGTGTCAAATCATACACACAAAGTACTTGAAAATTTTCGAGAATAGTCATTTGCGTGGTACGACATCTTACGAAAATGAAAGCTAAGCCAGAAAACTTTTATGTTAAATGGTCATGATGGTAATTTATGAAATTCCATGGTCAAACATAGATAAAGGACGATCGTCTTTGGATGGAGACTGGGGAATGTATATGCAAGTCTACTTTATGAAAAGAAAGAACCGCTTGAATGGTTGGTCAAAAAGGTAAAGAACAACTGGAGATATCTCAGATAAATCCATGTATATAATTTCTGAGACCTGCGCAAATAATCAGCTTTACTTCTTTATTCCAGGTCAAATCCTTTTGAAAAAAGGAAAAAATCTGTCTAAACAACAATTAACCAGTTTGGACAACAGGGTATGCATAATTGTTCACTTCTTCTTTTTGGAAGGTGGCTGAGATTGCGCATCATCCTCCTCATCATCGTCGTCTTCGTCCTCGTCCTCGTCCTCGTCATCTTCGTCCTCGTCGTCATTGTCTTCATCGCTTTCCTCATCACTGTCAGCCTCGCTATAATCATCATCAGACCCCTCCATATCATCATCACTGTCATCTTCTCCCTCATCGTCATCGTCGCCCTCCCCATCACCATTGTCCTCAGGGTCCTGAGATGCCATCTCACCAGTGTCCTCATTCTCTGGCAATGGCTCTTTCACTCCAACTAAATCAGCTGCAGAGAGCCTAACCGGCATACACAATAACTCCAAATTAATATCTGCCGTACAAATAAAATGCGAGGACAATTAAAAACAAGTGAAAAGGGGAAAATAAAAAGATTCAAACCTTCGTTCTGAATCAATTTTCATTAACACAGAGTCATCACCATGCTGCAACGCAACCTGAAGCGAGCATCAACCAACCAAAAATGTTAAACACTGGTTCAAATTCCCATGTACCTAATGTTGGACAAAACATAATTCCCAGTATGAATGAGAAATAGCTTGATGGCTAATCAGAGAATCACATAACAGAACCTGGGAATTTGACGAGATGAAACCCGAAAAAAGCACAATAGATCATAAACAGAGAGGTGACACAGGTATGGAATAAAATGAAAACTGCCAGGTATAATAAACAAAAGCAAGCTATTCAATATTTTTGGCATGAACAGAAAGGTTAATATGACTGACCGAATGAAGCGTAAAAGTAGAGCAAGGATGACATCATTTACATTTCCTCAAGGACGAAGACAAGGGCAGCATTTCAAAAAAAATGAAGCAAGCATACATCTGTGGATTTCTCGATATACATCGAGAATATTCAAATATTAGGAACATACGTCAAACCATTCAAGGTAATTCATGCACCAAGCGCAAAGAGATTAGCAGCATGTATGTACACAATTTACTCCTGTTCAATACACGATCTTGCCCTACGAATCATACAAATATGGCCCTCTACGTCAAAAAGATATACTAGCATCTCAACAAGAATTAACTTTCCTTCAGAAATGAAAAAGGGTGAGTCAATAAGAAGAGGTGCAACTAATTTACTGTGGACTTGAAATTTAAGTCAAAGTGATGATACTTTTCAATCTTACATTGCATGCATACGTGAGAGACCGGATTAATCCCTCAGCTGGCTTGCCAATAAAAGGAAAATGAAAAAGAAACAAATGGAAACAAAAAGGCAAGAGTATCTAAAGCCCACTGCTCCAACAAAAGCAGCTGAAAACATTTAAGTAATCACTACATGGAGGAAAGTTCTTGCAATAGTAATAAGAGAGAAATCTTGCATTAAATAGTCATCTTCTCGTAGTCAGATCTCCAAGTTCTTTGAATGCTTGAACAAGTAGGTCTAATTGTTGAGTTCCGTGATGGCAAACTCAATGAAGTTGATAGGTGATGCTGTTACTGTGAAAGAGAATATGCTTGATGTACCGAATTAGGTGCGTCATGGATCCATATCTCTCTATCGAAAGAAACAACAAAAAAGAAAGTATGAAATTGATGATACATTTCTCTTATGGAAGCTATAACTATAAAGAGCGAGCGAATTTATGGACGCATCAGTTTATATTCATCTTAGACTCAACTTCCTTACCGGTTTCCAAATTAATCCTGTGGATACATATAATTCGAAAGAACATGAAAGTAATAAAATGGAGGTTAATGCAACATCCGAGTCTCTTAAATAGAAAACAATTATGCAGTTTATCACTTGAATTTGTTTCCTTGCCCAGCCAGATATGTGATCGATTAGGTAAGATAACAAAGGACGATCAGGATTAAAATCCTCCATAATCTCGAACATTATCAGTTCCGATCCATTTTACCTGGTGGATGCACGTCTATGCCAATCCTCATGCAATTTATCTTTTGCCCTACTAATCATGAGATTATGCATGAGATTATCGGACTCCGGTTTTTTTTTCACATACAGGATTTCTACTCTTTCTCACCCAATAAGGTAGGCCAGTAGTCGATCCACAGAGACTGTCCGCGTCGCGTCTCCTGTCCTTATTTTCAGGATCCCCTCTTTTTCCTTCTTTCTAACGCTGTTTTTGCTCAACATCAATGCATCACGAGTTTCGAGAAACTACGAGGGGCCTTCAAAGCAACCATATCAACACTCCAGGATTCAACATAAAACACAACCGAAGCATGATTCTGCTCAAGAGACGCAGTCTAACGAACACCATTCGTCTCAAGCACGAATCTTTTTCACATCTGAATCAAATTCGGCATACCACGGAGCTGATAACAGGTAAGCAAACACACCATCGAGCTTCAAATTTCGAAAGAAAGAACAGAAAACGAGGCAAAGCGAGAAGCGCGTACCAGAAGCAGGAGCAAGCAAGCGGTTCTCTGAGCCAGCAGGGCAGCCTCGATCACGAAAGCTCCCACCTTTGGAACCACCCCAGCGTCGAGATTGGCGTTGCTACCGTGAACGCTCGCCATCTCCCACTGCTCCTGAACAATTTTCGAGTCGGGCAAGACAGATGAAACCCAGAAGAGCCCGACCCACCAAAAAACAAAGAGAGAAAAACCCAGAAGAGAATTGACGAATAAAATAATGTCAAGGCCAAAAAAATTCCAACTTGTACCTCCAGGTAGAGACACGACAGTCCCAGAAAAGAGAGGGACAGGGACGCTCGGAACAGGAGGGAGACCAGGGGCTCTAGCCGGAACAGTAAAAGGAGCAAGTTAGGGTTTGGGACTCTGCTTGTTCTGTGGTGTGTCGCTTCGGACATGTATAGTCACTTCCGGTGGGGCCCGCACCCCCTGCCACGTAAGCGTCAGACGTGAATCTAGGTGGGTCACATAATCCAAAAATCCCCCATCCAAAATCCCAGCAGTCTTCTTCTTGGGACCCACCATGACTTTATTTTTATTTTTATGTTTTTTTGGGGGTGGGGGTCGAAACCAAAGACTTTTATTTTAGCTCCCTAAAGATGTTTGAGTTGGGTTCCGATTGACCCTCCGATACTTAGATCAGCAGCGACGAGATACGTCCTCGAAACCAAGAAGAAGTGCTTGGTCGAGATTCTAATGAATGTGCTAAACAATTGCTGAATTGTCCAAATCTATATGCTTGTGATCCTGAGTCAACGCCAAAATAGTTTGAGATCTTTGGCAAGAGCTAAAAGTAGTAGGTGCTTGCGTATTTAATGTGCGACAACGTGATAGCCGCAAAAAATAATTGTCTCACCACCATTAATAACCGGTATTTTTTTGTATTTGATTAATAATCCGTAATTGCGATCAATGTTAAATGAAACTATTGGAAGGCGGTTACTACTTGATCATTATAAATACCACTAGACCTCCAACTAAATACCCTCCACACAAATCAAAAAAGATTTGCTATCTTTTCTGCACTTTATCTTCTTGCACTACGCTTTATTTATCAAGTTGTAGCTTTCATCAAGTCGTCAATTGAATTTCGGAGTATATCTTTATCTTGGGTGATGTGCCATCAATTAAATTCAGCCATAGTGTCTCTGTGTTCTCGAGCAGTGTCATCGATTAAATTTTGACATAATTCGTTTGCATCGGGTCACGTTCTCAAGTATGTATTTTCCGAATTGTGCCGTCGATTAAATTCTAGCGTAATTTGCATTTATACAGCCATGTTCTATCTAAAGTCGTTGATTCTTTTAGTCGCCTGGATATTTCTTGTTTGGATTTGGTTTCCTTTAGTTAAAAATCGAAAAACAACTCTTAGTGAAAGATGTTGTGTCACGTGAGCAATTTCAGCGAAACATCTTTTTGGCATGTTTGGTGGGATCTCCGTGGCTAATTTGAGGAGATGTGCGTACGAGGAATCAACTCAATCCTGGTGATACCACTAGTAACAGTTCACCCCGTACGCCCTACTGCCGAGAGGATAGGACGTGCTAAGTTTTCAACTGCACAACTGGTAGCAAATCAGGCCCAAGGTGGAAATGTCCATATCCCAAGGCAATTTACGAACAAGTAGAAAAGACAATTAGAGAGCCGAGCTTAGTCATGATGGCTACCATAAAGAAGCTCCTTGAGAAACATCATAACGAATAGAATAATCACATAATAAAGCACCTTGCTGATGTAATCAAGCCACTGATCGTCAACACCCTCCATGAGTTTGCAAGTGGACAGGGAACTTTGAATAATTCTGTTCAAATGCAAACCAATCATAAAAATTCAACAGTGTTCAGGTATGTTTCTTCACCTATTAGTGCTCAAGACACATTTGGTTTTGTAGCCCAGGTTATGCCACCTCCACCAGCACTTAGGATTTTACAAAAGGCTGAAACCATTGTTACGATCTAGACCTGTGAGCCAGCACTTGCCAATGGGGCCAACTTGCCTAATCCAATTCAAATCAACCTAGATGCTAACAATGGCAGTAATATGGTGAATCCAAACACTCGGCAAAGCACCCTGGTACCGAATATGGGAAATGTGCAACCGATTGTGGTGACGCCCCAACCCAAATATGATACCCGTCCGATAAGTAACCCGTAATTGCGGTCAATGTGAAATGGAGAAACTTTCCATGTCCTAACTGGATATATCATGAGATCTGTGTTATGAGAATAAGTCTCGATCTTGTGGGCAAGTGGCCCTTCGGTCCTTGGCTTTAACTAACAGCTTCCAAGATCGTCCAAACTTTGTTTGAAGTAACTTTTACTTTTGACTCCTTTTGAATATTATGAAACCCACACGTTGACTTCTATTTGACTGGGAATACTAAAAACCTTTCAAAAAAAATCCAAATATCTACATGTAGAATTGTCTATAATATTTCCAATATTTTTTTAACCTTGAATAATATTCTTTTTTAAAATTTTGGAGGGAAAATCATAAGTAAAACTTAGCAAGTAGCTGATAAGTGCACGCAAGTAGGTTTGATTTGCTAAGGCTAGTCGTCTCTAGATGCTAAATCAAACTCATCTTACGATGAACAAGCAATGTCATTTTCTATGGAAGCCAAATCACACGGTGGCCATTGCTCCTAAAAATGTCAGGGGTCTCCCAATTGGATTATCTTTTTCAATTTACTTTTTCGATCTGAATCTTGCCGCACGCACACTTTTACTTTATTTTATGCGAAATACTCGAATCCTTGCAAAATGTGCTTATATTGACATGTAGATTCGTGAATAATTGTTTCATAGTTTTCTTTAAATTCGATTGATATTTTGAGTTGTGCTTGGTCTTAGGTTCCTGAAAGTGAATGCAAAGAACCAGTAAGTAAGAATTTTTCGAAGATCAGTAGCACCTCCTTGTGCAATTTTAAGGCAGGGGTGCAATGGAACTTTTGAATGTCAATTTGTAGGATCATGTATTTGGTGTAGTATATTTATCTTAATCTCTCACTTTTCACTTTAGTGTTTACATACAACTTCTACACAATGCTGAGAACATCATCTTCACAATAATGTATGACATATGAGTCATCTAAAATCATGTGCCTTTTTATCATGCTTTCTCAATCTTAATGACATTTTATTTCGACAGAAAAGCCATGAGCAGTTTTTGAGGAGTAAAAACAAGTGAACCTACGCCATTCTAAAGTAGCTGTTCTAGATTACAAGGGTTTGCAAGTAGCTGGCCATGAAGTCCAGCACATCAGTGAGGCTTAGATCAGAGACACTGATTTGATTCTCAAAGCTAAATGCAATCTCAATTTACTACCATTTAGCACGTGAAGGTCCCTTCGAACATGATGGATTTCAGTCCACCTATTTTCTCAAATTTCAACTTTACTCAACTTGTTTTAGCATATGACCTACAGGTGAGAGAGATAGTTATGGGCACTTCTTCAGTTTATCCTACCAAAGGGGTGCATCTTGGATTGGCATGGCCTTGACCCGAGTGGTTGGACACATACCTCAGAAACAACAATGCCGCCAATCAGTAGAGATCGAAACGGCACCAGTGAAGAAGAAAAGTAATCCTATACGACTTCTCGAAGGAGCATTTCATACTAAATGTCAAGAGACATTATAGTCGTTTTACAAATCGCAGTCGCTGGTGGATTTTCTCAGGTATATCTTCATGTTTACATTTTGACCTCCAAGCATGCCCTTCTGTAGTTGCTGAACATTCAAACTCTCTCAAAGCCAAAGGACCTTTAACCGATAGGAATAGGCGAAGCGGCCTATCTCAGCTTTGTTATAGCAAACATGCCTTGAAACCCTTCTCTAACTCCTGTGCATCCAAATTCTTCCCGATGAATACTATCTTGTTTACTCTCGGTTCGTCTGGGCCCCACAACCTGTCCGGTGAACCTTGGAAGATGTCATGAACTCCCTGTACCCAAGTAGTATCGATGGTTAAAACAAAGTTCCGAGAGCAAACTCAGTCGCAAAAATAGTCTAACTAAACAATTATCAGTGCAATGATCTTTTCTAGGACTTCTTTATTACGGCAAGGCTTGACACATCTCTAGAAAGTAAAAATTTAACCAGAATATACACAGTATAAAACTCTACTAAAACGTAATAATGGACAGGCAAGGTGAAACATGGGCCTTAGAAGTACACAATTCACCTGGAATACAAATCTCTCATCCATGCCCTGTACCGAGAGAAGACCTTTCATCCGATAGATATCCTCACTACGGTCCAACAACAACGTGCCAAGCCATATATTTGCCTGAAAACAGAGAGAATGAACTTACCAAACATTCAATTTCACTCAAAACAGAAAATAACGATCACTCTTGACCAAAATAACAGAGCCGTGGAGCTGGAATGAGGAACCTTCTCAAGATCTAAGCTCCCCTCAGAAACGATGCTGACAGAAGATACACCAGGATCATGGGAGTGATCATGCTCATGGTGGTGATGATGCTCTACAACATTAGAGAAAGATTTGACATTAGTTCACTCTACGTCTCACCTGTTGGATAAATAGCAACATATCCAGACAATACAAAAATAGACAGGTCTTTAACTCAATTCTAACTGAAGTACCAAGCATTTCGAGTGAGCTCAGCAAGACAAGCATGCTCCTTCGTGTGTAATAGGTTATGGTGGGAATGTTGGGCATTGGCATCTATCATGGTTATCTTACCGCATGATTGCAACATGACCGTCGTGTTACTAGACAGTATGCCACAGATGTATTCAGCATAATTCCCTATTTCATGTCATTAGTAGGAATCAAATTTCACATTCAGGGAAAATCTAAGTGGCAAAAGTTAAACAATGACTAACACCGAGTTAAATATTCACATTCAGAATACATTTAATTCTCGAAGGAGTCTATCAGCTCTTAGTTGACCAGTGAAAATGAGAATAGCCGACAATCAAGCCACAATCATCAGCAATTTAATTAACAGCACTGTCCATAAAACCACATGCACTCACCATGCTCATGATCGTGTTCGTGATGGTGGTGGTGATCATGGTCGTGGTCATGCTCATGTTCATGTTTGTGGTCATGATGGTCTTCCTTTGTCTCTTCAGCATTGATGGCACTCTCAATTCTGGCAAGAACCCGAAACAGAAAAGATGGTCAGGGTAATTGGAGCTCAAAACATTAAGGGACCGCATCCTGGATTCTACAACTTGAATTCCTCACCAAATTGTCACGTAATGCAATCTTAATCAGGCCAGTGACACACACAATCAAATCTAAATTTTTATCCAGTCCAGCAAGCCTGCCGCTTAACTAATATTTCTAAATCAAGTGTTGCCCTAGGACCGTGAAAAGGAAATTCAGGTATCTTCGTAATTGAAAATTTCCATGCCAATTAATTCTAATTTGAGTTTAAAAAATGCTTCAAGTTATTTATTGTCTTTCCCCTCAGTGAATGGCCAAAACAATAAGGGAATTCGGTAACAGGGAGACAAATTCATCCATCCCAGTATAATTCAAAACAGATGAGCGTTACCTTTCCAAATCAAAGCCTCCAATACCAAGAACATAATCCAAGTCAACTTGCCCAAACTTTGTCTGCTTTAATCGGGCCATGTCATTTATGTTCTGTTCAGCACATAACAGATCATCATCCTGTTAGATGCACCTAACAAAAAGATATAAAACAACAAGCACATGGAAAAAGAGAGCCAACCTTTATACGCTGGACCAAAGAAGCAATTTCAGGTTCACCAACTAGATCGGTCTGCTCAACACCAACAGTAGAAACTCGTTAGGCATTCAACCACAGCAGAACATACATTGTTTCCGGTTCTAGATCGCTAGTACATTTTTATCTTCTCATCAGAAAAAGGTTAACAGCAAAAGGATGCTCTATTGCACAAGACTGGGATCGCAATAATTCACGTAAGACCCTGAAAAGAAGTAAAATCTGCCACCAAGTTAACCCAACTGATTTTAGAACCATTCAGGCATGACAGAGATGGAAGCTCATAAATGTTGTTGCAGCAGAAGTTCCAATAGGAGAGAGGAAGTTGAAAATCGACCCAATTCGATGGATCTTTGAAAATCTACCATCAAAGTACACGAGCCTTGTTATCCTTTAAAGGAGTGTAAAAGCTTTTTAAAATCTATTTGCCACACTAGTTTTTTCAATCAAAATACATCAAGTACCTTGTTTACTATTATGCGGTCTGCATAGGCAATTTGTTCAACTGCCTCATTCACAACACCTTTTGGTTTAATGTCATCCAGGTGAAAATTAGCATGTTTGGCATCAACCAAAGTAACAACTCCATCCAATTTGACATCATTAAATATTTGGTCCTCAGTATAAAAGGTCTGGATTATTGGTGCTGGGTTTGCCAATCCTGCAATTGCCAAATGAAGGTCATCAACTGTAATCAGTAGTTCTTTGGCCCAAAAAAAAAAGTATGATCAGTATAGTCCTACCAGCTAATGGATTAAATTTTTTATTTTAATGACAATAAGAAGCTGCTGGAAAATGGATCTTGCATGTCGGAAATAAACAGAAAATATTAACACAAGAAGTCCACATAAAACCCAGATCATTTCTAGTTAAAAAAAAGATGTTCCTACCTGTAGTCTCTATTACAATATGATCAAATTTCCCTTTCTTCTTACTGACCAACTCAGAAATCATCCTCACAAGATCGCCCCTTACAGTGCAACAAAGACAGCCGTTGTTAAGCATTACTATATCTTCAGCACCAGCAGCTTTTGCAGCAACTAAAGAACCGTCTATGTCTACTTCACCATACTGCAAAACCCAAATCGCGAAAGGTAGGAAAAACAATGAATATGCTGTCAAAGAAGATCACATTTTCGTGCAATGCAAAGACTTGCTTGGACTAAATTAAGTTGAAAGACTAAAAGTCAGAGAGGAAAGTCATGCAATAGTAAAAGCAAGACACAACATTGTAGTAAACCTCATACCTCGTTCTCAATTACCGCAATGCGTTTTCCATGATCAGCTGTCAATATGTGGTTGAGCAGAGTTGTCTATTGACAAGAACAAGCACAAGTTTAACTAGTGAAGTGCAAATCTCTCAGAAAAGAATTGAGATTGTAAGAGAATCCACTATCAGCAAAGTGGTACAAAGGTCAGTACTTGATGGTTAGGTAAAGAGAATGCAACTGCTGCGAGCATGGAGTCCAAATCAATTACACGATTCACAACCATCCACCATTAAGGATGTGTCATCCAGAAAGAAAATTCTAGAAGTTATTTTAAGTATGAAACCATGAGCTTACGTAATCATTTTAAAACTCACAACTAAATTAATTACTTCCAGTGGTGACTTTCTAATGTAAAAACTGCTCTGTATACTTGAAGATAATAATTTAGACCATTACCCTGCTACATGAACATGGCACAAGTTGCCTCTACGGTGCAAAGCCCCGAATATCAAAATTAACAAGCAGAAACATAAATTCGCTTAATTAACCAAATCTGCATCGGGGAGAACCAAGAAAGCCGAAACTAGGAAAAAGGTTGCAACTTTGTCCGCAACATATACAAATTTCAGAAATTTCAAAGTAGAAAGGTATTCTTTTCCACAACCTGCAACAGTCACAGACCCAAATGCGAAAGAACCCACCTTTCCAGAGCCCAGGAATCCAGTAATTATGGTGGCGGGAACCCGATTATCCGGCGGAATTTTCGTCAAGACATCGGCCTCGTTGCTCTGCGGCACCGACGTAGCCGTGGCGGCCACCGTGAATCTGCGTGACCTTGGAACGGCGACCACCCTGGAGCCAAACGGCGGCGTCTTGTAGCTCACGGAGCGGAGCTGGTGGCTTGCCTTGGCATTGACCACGACGGGGAAGACGGTGGTTCGGAGCCTGTAGAGAGACTTCGGCGTCCAAGACGCGATGCCCATGAAGGTGGTGGCTAAATCCATCGACAAAGAAGCCATGGGCGGCGGCGGTGGCGGTCGCTGCGGCGGTGGGCGACGGAGCTGGGGCTTTGAAGAGAGAGAGAGAGAGAGAGAGAGAGAGAGAGAGGGAGGGTTTTATGATTCTATCTTGTTGAGGTTTATGTCAGCTTGAAGATTTTATGTACAGGTGGATGGTTGGTCGCCTGCTGAGCTTTTTGTATATATTTATTTTTGCATAATAATATCTGCCAATTGGATAAAGAAAAACATTTTCCAAATTTATTAGATTAAGAGAAAGAAAAGATCGAAAAATAAAAACATCGTAGTAACACGCTCACTGGAGTACAACGTTGTTTCAGACGTTCGGTGAAGTTAATCCAATTATGTAATGGGAGGTTTTGGGGAGGAGTTGGCACATGAAACCTCATGATTTCTGGGGTGTGGGAAGCTGAGGCAATTTACCATTTGAATTATATCAACCGGATTACACCACCTTTGGCATGTCTCATGCAAAACGAACATCAATAATCTCTCAAGAATCGGTGAAAAACTGCTCATCAGAATCATGCGGTGTCGAGGAACTGATGCAGACTGATCTACGTGCCGCCGGCTCACCGGGTCGGTCCGTATCCTTCTTTTCAGTTTCGAATTTTGACGAGTCCGCCATTATGTTAAGGGGAGGATTGAATTGTTATGTATTACATCTCAATGCACGAGTGACATTGTCGCGATAGCTCTCGGACAGTAAAGCTGAGTCGTTGGTCGCCGATAGAAGGCCAATCTGACCTCATCTACAAGTCTTAGCTTTCAGTCCTACTTTGGAGTTCAATTCTGCCAATCCATGCTATTGCTTGACAATTATGGCGTACATCAAAGACAAGCTTCGTTTTTAAATCATTGATTGCTTCCAGAACCAAGGAAGGATACACCCCCCCTGCCAAGAACACTCTCAAATCGATTTTGGGCACTTAAATGGACAGATTCAAATTTACCTCCAAGTAAACCATCTTTCCTCAATCTCAAAACTTGATTGTTCATCCGAGCTGAGGCTCGGGTGTCGCTTGTCAAGGCTTTACAAATTGTTTGGGCGACCGATATTATCCGAAGGTTCTATAAAGCTGCTTGGAGATCTCCAATGGCATGTCTTTCCCTTCCTCCACAATACAGACACCGCCAAGTGTTATTCGAGGTTATTCTTTTCCACTTACAGGACAGAAAGTTGCGTTACTCTCGTAAGAAACAGACACCGAGAATCTGTAACACTACTTTGAGATACCCCAAGGGACGTCCTGCCCTTCTCAATGATTCAGATGAGTAGTTCTTGTTCACTCACCAGATAGATCAGTTGCGTTACTCCCATAGGACACTGAGGTAGTCTTCTGTTTTTTACAAAAGTGAGAAAATGACCTTCATGAACAGCTAATGTATCCTTGGGACAAATCATAATCTACACATCTAAATGTTAGGATGATGTAAAGTTGATTTGCAAGGTAATTTGCTTCTGTTCATTTACATAATTATTATATTGCCTTGCCCCCATTTTGAAGGAGAATGGGCAGACAGTAACAGTACCAAAGACCATAAAAAATTTCCTGATAGATAAAGCATAGGTTTGTGATGTCTGCAACATAAAAGAACATGATAGCATAAAGCATACCTAGATTAGCAATGGCCGCGCAAGCCAAACTATAAACAGACTTCTTAGGCTATAAAATCATCTCTCTGCATGATCAGAGCCTGAAGGGCCAGCTGAAGAAGCTGAGACTCCACTTGCTGACCCATTCTCAGCTGGTGGCAGTGCGCCCCATTTACCGTGAGAGTCCAGGGGCTCAAAGACATGAACACCGCCATCTGATAGTCCCAATGCAAACTGATTTGGCTCTTGTGGATGCGCAGCAATCACCAGCGGATGCACGTTCGAGTTGCTGCATAGAGCACACAGAATAATTGAACTAACAAGGTATTTTATTGTTAAGTTACTTGAAGGGCTATTTACAGCAAGCTGAAAGAATGGTAAGCAGATAGTTCTATACAGGACGTCTCATTTTAGATTGTTTAATTTTTCACAGCCATAATGCTGGGCATTTAAAATTTAACATATCGCAAAACTAGATTCGAAAGACATGCAAATAGACATGCTATTAAACACGTTGTACTTCATTTGTCTGGGACACACCTGACAGTAGCAGGAAGATAAGCAGACGGATTAATGCGACACTGCATCCTGAGGTTTGCAGCGTTGAAAACACAGATAGTGGCGTCAAAGAAACACGCATAAACAAGCTGGCTATCGCAAGAGAACGTCGCATGAGATATCGGGGCAGAAGATTCATGTGGAACCCACTGTAACATAGAACAATCATCAGAAAAGATAAGATCAACACAAATATTGAAAAGGTTTGCTTGCAGAAAGAGGAGGCACCTGTTTCACGCATTCTAGTTTTGTTACTTCATATACAGCAAGCTGAGTACCATGAACAGCAAGGAAGTGCATTTGGTCCAGATGAAATTGTACTCGTGTATCTGAGTGTGCTAATGGTGTCCTTCCAGTCGGAATCTGCAAGTATGTGTTCTTTTGCTTTTCCCAGCCATCAGATCTCCATACACAAATCTGGAATTAGCAGAAACGTTGTATAAGAGCGCTATTTCTTTGATAATTACCCCGTGACACTGTGGTGAATATAAATCTCCTTTTACTAGTATATGTAATCTTATCTTAGCGAACTGCGGCAGTTCACAACAAAGTCAACCGGTCAGCACATCCGTTAAAGTTTAACAGTAATGGTTTTGAACCACATACGATTACTACCGGATATTTGGTACTGATCATCAATTTAGACACAGGAAAGCAGATGAGTACAGTCATATATACAAAAGCGTATCACTATAAATTTCTGTAAGGTGGGCTTCCTCGTCATCAACATGTATATACACAGACAACGCTCTGTGGAGTCCTATCCTCAGAAACACACTTTTAGGTGCAAAGTCATTACGACCGCATATCTTTACTAACCTGAGCATCCGCGCCAGATGAAACTAACACATTCAGCGTATTAGAGAATGCAAGGCCAGTTATTCTTTTAGAATGGCCCTTGAGCTTACTCTTAACCTGCAACAAATTTGTGCAGAGCATGAAAGGACAGCAATCTCCTCATCAACAATGCACAACACATTCCCAATGAAGTATACCTCATCCACGCGGACATTATATATCTGAACAGTGGAATCGTCCATGCCTATGGCAAGGATATTGTTATCCTGAGGGTGGAAAGCAAGAAAGGTCGCTGCAGGTGGCGGCGGCATGAATGTTGCCATTGTCTGCATTTGAAAAGAAAAAAGGGATGATGGAATACAACACAACCGACCACACGTCAATGTTAATGAAGGTTGCAGTAGAAAGAGGCTAAGCTATCCGTGAGAATGCAAGTACGATGTATGATTTCATATGTTACCTTGAATGTCATCATATTGAACAGGGAAATTTTTCCTCCTGATGCCGACATGACATAAGAGTCATTCTTCGACAGAGCAAAGCAGGGAACCGCCTCCTCCGGATTAATTTTGTTTACATCGTTGGTCATTACAAGGCCACTTGATGGTTGCCATTGTTGAGGTGCCATACTGGCAGTAGCCTACAAAGGAAGAAGAGTTTAGTAAGGAATGGGATTATGGGAGAAAAACAAGTTGGCTCACTTCTTTAAAGGCGAAATTTTTTATTGTTGAAAATTCTTCCCAGGAAATTGGAACCAAATAGTTTATAATCGTTTATACTAAGAGATCACCACATTACCTTGCCAATTGAATTGCGGTCGTTGCGCTGCCATTTCCAGAGAAGATGAACCGCGTTTGATGCTAAGGCCAAAATAGCACTCCCTGAGTTTGTATATATTAAGCGTGATATCTGCAATATCCAAGTGAATGAGGATCAGTACCTCAATGGCAATAAAGCTGGAAAACCACGATGGGCAAAATTGGAGTCTTCATTCAGCAGGAAAGGGTAGGCATATTAATTGCAAACAAGTTACAGAAGGCAACTTGATGCTCATTTCTGTTGCCAAGTGACAACAACTAATGACAGAAACCTCCAGATATGAGAAGAATCAAAATTCAGATGGTCCATTTAAACCAGGTACACCAATGAAACATGCTACTAGATGGTAATTACTGCAGATAAGAACATCCACAAAGTATCCTATTAAAAGAAATGAAAACCAACTTCTCACTACAGTAGTAACTCCTAAGTCTAGTAATACATGAAAAGGGGCTGACTTCACAGTTAGGACATTCGTACCAGTAGCCTATACACAAAACTAGACAGAAAAAAGCTTCAATTTTCAAGTTAACATCGTGGATATTTCACTGTATCAGTATGGAAAATGAGTTATTGACTGTGGGCAAGTACATAAATTATACAATGGTTAACACTTCAGCAACGTTTACCATTGTGGAAGCTCCTAAGTTGGAAAAGTCAAGAAATGCAAAAGAAAATCAAACAGATAGAAGTAAGCATAATAAATTGCTCAGAAACCAGTGAATAAGGGCCATACCTTGTTCGCTCTTTGGTTTTCAGGCAGCCTCAAGGATCGACACTGAGATGGTTCGCTTATTTCAGTGAGCTTCCAAAGTTTAGATTTTTCATTGCTTTCTTCAGCTATTCTGGGTTTCACATCCCCTAGAATTCGGGCGTCCCCATTCTAACAACATTAAACAAACATGTTCATCATAACTGAAGAGGAAAGAAATTAACAACATGCATATTGCACCAGCAGCAAAGCAAGCAAATTCTATGTTGGTTATTTTCTCATAATGAGTAAGCATAATGGTGACCAACCATTCCAGAAGTCACAACTGCAGGAGCACCTCTATCTGCAAGTCCAGCACTGGTTGGAGCAGTAGCAGCAGTAGCTGTAATGGGGTTTACTTTTGGCTGCAAGGAAATACTGTACAGCTCAAGATTCAATTTATAACAAGGTAATGCCCAGGAAGATATCAATGAAAAACCAATACCTTCACCAGAGTTTCTGGTGCTCTTGATACATCATATGAAAAATTTTCAAAAGTGCGCAACAACCTCATGCCATCAGAATTCGCCAATATTTTGATTCCATTTTCATTGATAGAAACAGCCAAGAGAGATCCATCCTTGTTGAAGCGGA